CGATCCATTTCTATTCCTGTTTTTAATTCCATTGGCATAAAATTCCAACTTAAATGTCGTAAAACTGGCATTTTCTCGGTGTTCTAAAATTAGCTAACTTTAAACGAATTTCTCGTGTAAACAAACAATGCAGCTGCTACAAAAAGAAAATAGTTCTAGTAAACTGGCGTTTTTTGTGAACGTCAAGAAATGAAATGTACAAACATTGGATCTTTAAATCTTTAAAATCTTTAAAAATAATGCCCTTTTGTTTCTTTTACATTTTTTACATCCTTTATTTGAGAAACTAAAAATCCACGGAATAATTACCCACTGGAAAAAAGAAAAAAAACTTGTACCGAAAACTGAATATCATTAAATAAATAAGCAACGGAATATGATAGAGTAAAAGACCATCTGCCGAGTACTTTCTCTGCCCTAAAACTTTACAGGAATTAGCGAAACTCTTAAAGCTAATCGAGAATCTTGCACTCTACTCCACTCTGGTTCCTTGTCTTGTTTATGAAAAGTGTCTAAACGAGTGGATATGGTATGAAAACAATTCGTAACGAGTTATATCATTTGGCAGGAGGATTTTTCTAGGTATATAAATAGTGTATGATCAGTTCAAATGGCAAGAATATAAGTAACCCAATGTATGTAATAGCATGTTAACACAAGAGCGCCACATAAGAGGAGTAATAACGCTTACATGTACATTATTCTGCGAGAACTAGATTTATTATGATCTTGTAACCAACTCAGGTCGTAGATATTTTGTCATATGGATTTGTCTGGGTCTACAGTGGTGATATAGTCTGATCGGTCCACACTGTATAACGGCTACTCCCCTATGTATAATAGGTTTGTCTGGATCTACACCGGTGATATAGTCTGATCAGTCTACACCGTTTTACAGGTATGTCTGGATCTACACTGGTGATATAGTCTGGCTACTCCACACCGTATAATAGGTTTGTCTGGATTTACACTGGTGATATAGTCTGATTAGTCCACACTGTATAACAGGTTTGTCTGGATCTACACCGGTGATATAGTCTGATTAGTCCACACTGTATAACAGGTTTGTATGGATCTACACTGGTGATATAGTCTGGCTACTCCACACCGTATAATAGGTTTGTCTGGATCTACACTGGTATTATAGTCTGATTAGTCCACACTGTATAACAGGTTTGTCTGGATCTACACCGGTGATATAGTCTGATTAGTCCACACTGTATAACAGGTTTGTCTGGATCTACACCGGTGATATAGTCTGATCAGTCTACACCGTATTACAGGTTTGTCTGAATCTACACCGGTGATAAAGCTTGGTCGTTATTGCCACCTACATATAGGTCGTTATTATGGGAATATTGAATAACTTTAAAAATGCCATTTCAAAATACAAATTATGTTTTTAAACATTTTCGTATGTGAAACAATGCACATGAACATGTTTGTACACTGTAATCGAGACAAAACCTGCTTGCAGCAGTTGTTTCCCTTTAAAATTGTAAACACATGAAATCGAATAAATAGATTTAATTTTTACGACATTTAAATGAAAGAATTTATTCAATGAGGTCGGTGACTAATCTCCCGTTTTTATAGAATGAAAAGTAGAATGGCTTATAGAAACCATATAAATATTGACTTTTATAGTTCTTTTACCGAACAATAAGAATGTATCATAATTCGTTCTATGGTGCCGCGGGCATTGTCGTAAAATGATATACAAATATTATTTTTATTAGGTATTTATAGCCGCAAATTGACATACTTTGATAAAACGATCAAAATCTGATGTGCATTCTGTCTGGGTAACTGAAAACTTGTGTTTTAATCAGTTATGGCCTAGCTATTTATCATGTAATATTAAAACTATGAAAACTATATATAGTCTAGTAAACGTCTGCTAGTAAGATATTGGTCTTTTTTTCTTCTTTGTTTCTATTTCATCTTAGAGCCAATGAGACCTTTTGTAATGGAAAGTTTTCATTAAAGGCAAAACGAACAAACCAGAGGGAATAGAGAAAAGATAAAAAAAAAAAAAAACTTTTCTTAACTTACATAATCTCAAGTGGAACATGGCGGTAAAAAAAGAACATTTTTAAGGTTTCTTAGGATAATACGTGTAGTTTAAACCCCACCGTATGTACGTAAAGAAAAATAAATTGTCATTGTTGTTCTTTTCTTTTTAAAATCTTTTAAACGGGTGTCCTCCTTTAAGATTTTAATCAATGTTCATTTTGCATGAACACTCTTTTCAAGTTTTTCATTCGTTTCAGTTTAACATGTACGACTAATTTCCTAAATATATGGACGGACTTTTCAAACTGTATTAGGTTTCCATATCACAAAACATTTCGAACGGGGTGGTGAATTTTATTGTACATTCATTTTGTCACACAATAAACGTTATTAAGCTTTTCTCTTGTTTTGTTAAAAGGTTTTTCGTTCGTCATACAAACTCTTACAAAAAGTTTTGAATACCCTCTATCGATGCCGATTATACACGTTTTAAACAGTTTGTTAATTTTGTTCTACTAAATCATTTCGACATAACGGTTGGTTTGTATTTTAAGTTTCAAATTACGCGGTTTTAATGGTAAAGACGAAAACAAAGATGGATTTTAAAAAAATGTTGCGGTGTAGTTTAGGCTGTATGGCGTTTGTTTATGTTTGGGTGAAAATGAGAAATGAGGGCTTTTTTGTAAAATGTACATTATACTTCTTTTTCTACCTGAGTCATGCAATGTATATGGTAGTTATATACTGTACACAACTTACGCAAACTTTTTCTAAATCCCTAAAACATGTGTCACTCTTATTTGAACAGTGGGCTTAAGTTTTATGGATTGTTTCGATAAAGTAAATAAAATAAATGAGAATGTAATATCCGCTCTGTATAAATTTCACTTTAGTGCAGTTCAAGATTTTTTTCTTCTTTAGTATGTCGGTAATCCAAGATAGACTTGAAGTTATTTATATTTAACGCATATAAGAAACAAAAAACGCCCATATGGTTGATTTGTCTATAATAATTATTAAATGACTAAACGTCATTATAGATAAAGGTTTTATCTTCGGTTATATGTTTCAACTTTTATACAAAAGTAGTTACAAAAAACACGGATCTTCAGTCTAAAAATAACAGTTTTATATACATGTAATAACCGCAATTTTTCTTGCTGGGAAAGTGGGTGGGGATCATCAGTCAGTACAATATTTTTCTCATATACATATATTATGCGGATATTTAAACGAATACAAATTCCAATGCCTTTAAAAGATTATGCCAAATGCATCATTCTGTTTTGAGACAAAATCATTTTACTCAACATTCCATTTCTTATATTACCAAGCAGACAAACGAGGGGAAGAAAATGTATGTTTTACCGGCATGATTGGTATTTTACAACTTTATATTAAAAGAAATCTCGTAAAATTTCACTCGTGCAGTGTTTACAGCTCTAACGCTTCTATTTTCTAGTATGATGGCAATGCCTGATAGCGAACACAAACCGACTGCCTTCACAGCATGGTTCCAAGTTGTTCTTGATAGTTATCAATATATAACATAGGTATAAAATGTATTTTAAGTACTATGTGCAATGATATGCAATATGTGTAAATAGTTCTGGAAGATTTCCCAGCCCAGACTGTTTTTGTTGTGTTTTTTGTTGTTGTTTTTTTTTTAGATTTTTAAAACGGTGCTAGAATCAGAAGTGCATATAAACATACATGATGTCATTTCTGTAATCTAAATCGTACTGTACTTATTTCTTAGCAGTTCAAAATGTGTATGAGAGTATTTCCATCTTCTTTTTTTTTTTGCTTTCGGATGGGGGGGGGGGGGGGGGTAGAATGAGACAATAGTGAAAGCTTATCAGTAAATATATCTGTAATCAGAAGGGTGCTAGCAGACATATGTTCGTGGTTTTCACGTGTTAGGCTGAAAATGAAGAGTAGTTCTTAACTGACGACGCTTCCTGTACATCGCTCGCATATTTTCCCTGAATGATACCATGTGTACATGAAAAACAGTGAGCATTATTCGTTGGCCACAGGGCCCTTAAGTGTTTACGAACTGAATTCCGGATACACAAGTCTGTTTTATTACTCAACGACGTTTAACCTTTTACTAGAACCTCTTTTTGTTCCGCTGGAATTTCAGTCCATTTATGTTTAAAGTAAACGTATCCCCAACCTAGTTATGCTATTTACTACTGTGTACAGTGTGGAAATTGTTCGATTCTGAAACATTTCTTTTATGTGGTGAGAATGGAAATTAAACAGCAAATATTTGACTTCGGTGAAATTGTGAAAGGTATTTTTTTCAATGACATCAGTAAAAAGAGGAAACAGCTATTCAATCGATGCAGACGCTCGAAACATACACATAAACATATGACGTATACACACATGTACACAAAAAAGACAAATATTAAAATTCTGCTTCGAAATAAACACACTTCAAGATAATAGATTAAAAAATAAAAGTAAAAATACAAACTCACTCCACTCTAAGATAAAAAAACACAAGTAAAAAAACCTATAGAATTTGAAACTTTGCAATCAGACATAGAAAAATACATTTTGGAAAAGAAAGAAAACAAACTCTCTCAAAAGTACAAAAGTGATAAATGCATGCAAAACCAGTGACCAAGATAAAAAAGGGGCTATAAGTCTACGAGAAATTCATAAAACTACGGAAAAACACGAAGTATAAAAACGGAATCACCGCAAACCACACGCCTTACTTACAGTAATGGCACGGATCATAATCCATACTTTTTATACATTTTTTTTCTTATTTTATATCCACGAATATTCTACAGCCTATTTCAGACTACGACACCTCTCCCATATTTTATAAGAGAACCAATAACACATTATATAACCTTCTAACACCATTTTCCCCCCTCGGGGGTAGGGGAAAATCACAATTTTGAAGATTAGACTTTTTTCTCTCTCCATTCTTATGCAAATTAGCTTAATGAATATTCACTTACAAATCCATATCCGCGACTCTTTCCTGTCTGTCTGTCTGTTATCACAACTGCCTCTTCAATGTCTCCGAATTTGTCAAAAAATTCTCGTAGTGATTTGTCTGCAAGAAAAGAAAGACGAAAATTAGCAACAGTTTATAGTGAAATTACAATTAGAATTGATGGTCCTAAAATTGGTGTAAAAAGACTTTATTCTTTTTTGGAATTTTATTGGTGATAATTTTTTTTTATCTTTTAATAATCACTATTGATACATAAGATCATGTTGGGTGCACATTAATGGGTTTGACACCTAAACTGCAAAGGTGTATGGGAACATGTCTGTGCTTGATATAATTGTTTTCTGGCCAATACTGTCTGACCCTTAATCTTTTTATTCCATTCTTTCACTGATTGACATGTTTCGTTATTACTATTCGATAATAAACGAGACTTTTTTAAATTTCCATTTTGAAATTGATTGTACACTTAATGCCATAAACTTATACATTAAACTCGTCATGCTTGCACATGCTTGAACTACCACAACAGTGGGTCCATCAAAAATGCACGAGACATAGGTGTATATACATTTTTGCCATCATGACTAATTTGAGAAAAAAATGAGAAACAATAAATGAGTATAAGTATATTTTTTCCAACATTGCCACTTTTATTTCTACGACTTGTAACAACTTATCATTGAAGAGTAAGGCAGCTGTATCTCTCCCATTATTCTGATTTAAATACCTCTTGATTAGCTAATAATATAATAATAAGAATATGTTCTGCATTTTTGACAGAATATTGCTGCACTTTAATCGAAGACTTTAGTAATGTGTGTAAAATATGTTTTATTCAGCATCTGTTAGTTGACAGGTACTGAGGTAGAGGAGCATCAATGTGTCTTCTTGTAATAAAAGACTATTTTTGTAGAGTCTTAGCCATGTTAATGAATTGTGCTTAGCCCCTGTTTGAAATCTTAATGCTAAATTCCTTCAAACTTCAAAGGAAATGTAAAAACAAGACCTGAGCAATTTCAATGTAAATGGGCTGTTAATGCGGCGAAATTCATTTAATTACTTGTTTACATTAAATAAAATTGACTGCACCTGGGTGGATTAAATTCGCATCAATATATGAAACAGGGCTTGCAATGTACTGCTCCGTTTTGCCTTTTCCTGCTTGGACTTTATTGATAATGATTACGAAAAAACAGTTTTAAAATTCGACAAATTGCATAATACTGAAAGATAGAAAGAAGGACGAGTAAACGAAAAGAGAAGAAGTGCTTACCTGTAGTGTGGTATGGTAATCCACCGACAAATATTTTTGTGAATGTCGTATCCTTCTGTGTGATAGACGGAGCTGCCATTTTTATTGATAGGAAAGAAAACACACGTTCTAAAAGAAAACTAAAGTTTATTAATTAAAAAAAGACGTTTAAAATACTTTAAACTTCCTATACAATCTTCATACGTATAGACTCCTTTCCTTTCCGATATAACTTAAACACGTTAACTTTCCTTTTCTATTTATTATACCTGGTCTAAATCTAATGTTTATATGCTACTCGTTTAAAGCTGATTTCTCTTTAATTTTTAGTTTCCAGAATTTATCCACGAAGTAAAGTAAATGTGTTTAACAGAACTAGAATGTAATATCCCTCTTGCAGAAGTTCAGTAGCTTAACTGTGCTTAAAGATATTGATAGAGGAACTATACATTTGCCACTACAAAAGAATTATCGGTTGAACTAAGCTCCGCCTACTGTACCTACCCACGATATACAAGGTAGCGCGCTTCTCCACGTGAGAAACCGTTATCTCCGCCTACTGCACAGTATCGTAGCCACGCCTATATGTAACCACACTTGCGCTATAATGTAACGGAAGATTTAAGCTTTTATAGTTTTAACGATGTACAAATTAATTCGTATTAACCAACCTCCTCATAAAAAGTTACTCTGTTAAACTTTTTTTCTTCTTCTTTGTACCGTAGACGAGAATGTGAAAAAGGCCTATACGATCGTCAAACAGGTCAATTGTCTTACTTCTAGAAACATGACCGGTAATCCCTTAAGAGAATAATAATACCCTAGATTTTAAAGTAAGAAGGTTTAGTAATAAAGCATTTAAAATAAAGAAAGGTTCATTGAAAGGTGATTTTGGCGATTTTGTTATAAAGTTGGTGATTTTACAAACCGATTGCGCCACAAACTAAGACGCTTAGTCAGATTATGTACTTAATTTCAGATTTTATAATAAATAGTGTTTTAAACAGACTGTAGAGATTTGACCAGACATTGTACTTGTTTTGAACTTCAAGAATATGATTTCGAAAAATCATGAAATACCCGATTCTATGATTCCCAAGGGCCCTGAAGGTAATCGTTATTTTTGGGTTAAAATACGAAGTAGGCCTGCTTCATTATTTACGTATAACTTTTCACTATATATCAAATAGAAATTAATATTCATATGTATTCGACAGTTTTTGTTTCTTTAAGACAATGGGATTTGGTCAGGGTGTTGGGGTGAAGTGGGGTTGAACTAGTGTTCTAGCTATCACTGTTACAGTATTTGAACTTTGCATTTTATGTATAGGCTACAACGAGCAAACATCTCTTGTTTTCCAACCATTAAAAGTAAATAATAATTATACCAGTAATATTAAAAACAATATCAAAAATAGGTAACAGGGTTTCATACGTATAAAATTACCCAGGGGATGGGTAACTTAGTCCCCATGTTTTTGCTTCACATGTCAAATTCGTGAAAAAACGAGGTTACTGAAACTGCACATGTACGAAAAATAAAAAAAAATGGTGATGAACAGTTCCAGATTTTCATTCTCGAGAAGAACGTAGCTGTTATTAATGTATTTAGGCCTATTGTAAAATATAAGAACACAATGGAATACGGAATTCTTACCTAAATCTGGTCTTAATTAACGGGGACTACTTTTACGAGCGCACGGATAATTTGCATATCAATGGGCAATAATGCCTGATATTGTTAACCGTTTTGTTATAACATATTTGTTATAAGCTGTTGATAAGGACAACGTAGTCTCAGCCAAAATGCTTTGTTACAAATCAGTAATAGATTACTATCTGAAACTAACTGAACGCTTTGCATTCCTCAATATGCGGCAGGGTGACTTCAGACGCCATGATGTTTTTTCTATAATATTTGTTTTAATTCGCCGACTTTTACGTATTCACGCAATATATAGGCAAGTTTCGGTAACGTATATGGATGTGTCTTAAACTTTATTACAAAAGTGAAAAAAATATAAATTCAGAAATAAGGACTAATTTAAGAAATAGCCCTAGAGGTAAAGTACTGAGTTGACGTGCAATTTGCATTTTGCGTTTTCTGAGTGAACTGGTTTTTTTCTTTTGAATGCAAAACAAAAAACAGTTTGGTGTGATTTTTATTTAAACAATTTTATATACTAACATTATAAATATGCGTGAACATTTTACCAAGAAACAGTTTTCTTGAGTGTTTTGAGTGCTTTGCTCTGAATTTGTATTACAAACTAACCATTGTGACGTCATGTATAGTCTCATGACGTCAATGATGCCACCAACGTACCAACAACACTGTTCAACGATCAAGGAACTGCGCCATTTTTCAAAGGAAGAAGTAGAGATGTAACCCTTTGACCTAGACCAAGTACCCTTAAAAGAGCCCAGATTTATTTTGAAATATACTAAAGTGTTTGATTTGCCGTGTTGTTTTTGTTGTTTTGTGTTTTTCTTACAACATTACTCCCTCCATTTTATATCTGGCCAATAGCTAAGCCAACCAAGTAACAAACCAATGTCTTTCTTTAATATTACGGGATGAAAATGAATAAACCATTTAATGTCCAGTAAGGCATTGAAGACCCGCTGACGACATGAATAAGGTAAATGGCGTCATTATAATACATTTATGACGTCATATTACTATAACGTTTGGGAATAAAAGAAATCAAATCCATACTGCATTCCTAAAGCAACAACAATTTAATTCATTTTTTTAACAGTAAAATAAACAAAAAACGGTGTTTCTTCTATTGCGAAAAGGGACCATTTTAACGTGATATTAAAGGTAAATTACGATAACCTAAAGGGTGGTGCAGCCTGGGAAATGTCGCATAAGGTCACCATACGTTCCAAAAGTGTCTTTAAGATTTGCACAAAGAATAGATTTGGCCCCTTTCAATTTAGAAATATATCTATGACTATAGTGTCAGGCGAAGCAGACAAACACCAAGTAAGCACATGTAAATACCATCCTTGACGGGTGAGATGGTGGTAAAACTTTGCTCCCCATCCCACGCCCCACCCCCACCTCAAAACAACCTCCACCTCCTCTGTCCTTGTAAAAGAAGGAATACGAGTGTATGTGTATATGATGTTTATTGCAGTCATAATTTCCAGAACTATAAAGTCATTATGATTTTAATAATAGACAAATTATGACATGTCTATGTTTTAATAAGATGTGTCGCTCTTTTTGGATAGTCGCTTTCATTGGTAGGTCAATTTGAGATTATATGACATCATTTCGTCCAAACAGTATTGCATACAATTTGAGTGGGAAATACATTAATATAAAAACTTTTTTTTTCTTTTTGTAATTTGTGTCATACACACATATTCGAGCTGAAAACAAACCCCGAGGTGTGATATACCATGTTCGAACAATTCAGCAGACGATCGTAAACAAGACTGGGCATATATCTAAGTTTATAGCGCGGTTGATTATTAAACACTCTAAGATTACAAACGCACAAAAAAAGACATGGACTTCGACCAAAATGATAATATCTTCGAGATCTTAACCATTGTTCAAGACCAGTAAGCCGTTGAGACACAACGGTGCTGGGCTAAAGTTACGGAAGATTAAGTTGCAAGATAAATCAGGTTAATTAGCTAAGACAATGTTGGAAATAACACACAAAGAACGACTTCTTTTGTCTAGATGGCAAACTAGATCATAAAACAGATCAGGGTAAAGTCATGTAATCCCCCAATGGAGTTGAATATCGTAAGATAAAATTTAATGAATTAGAACAATTTACAAACACGTAGTTTTAAAAAATATAATACAATGTATATACACTTATAAGAGATTAGCGTTTTAAAAAATAAAATGGCGGCTTTTAAAATATGTGTGTGTTTTTTTTTAATGAAGATGATATAAAATTAACAAAAACGCTGTCACCAAACTTAAAGCAAAATGATATCTTTATATTATTTTATTTCTTCCTTTATATAATCATCATGTGAAAGTTATATAAGTTTATTAACCGTCATGTTAAAGTTATATAACCATCTCGGAGCAGAAATTTTCAATCAAGATTCCACTTATACGAAAAACATATACGTTATAGAAGCATAAACTGTAAAAAATGTTGTTCATTTCAATTAAATCACATCATAAGTTATATAGATGTATATTAAAAACAAATCTGATATAGTTTAAAGATGTATTGGCCTAAAATTAAAGATGTATACATTAATTTTATATTGTTATAGTCCCACAAACAGACAATGTTGAGATTCTAATTGCCACAAAATAATAGAGGTAGGTCTTTCCCGTCTTTTTCAGAAACATTTTCTAATATCTACACACGAAAACATTGACTAAACTAGCTGCTAATAGAGTCAAGCAAATCTTCTAGTTTGACCAAGCTTCTGTACAGTTGGTTACTTACTCAAATGTAGCATTTTTTGTATCGAAATCCCACAAAAAAATACAAAAGATACTATTTTGAATTCACAGTATTTTTTTTTAATACAGTTATTTATTAGGATGAAGCTAAGCTTATGGAAAAATATGTCACATACATATAGAATTGGAGCATCTGCGTTGCAATTCTTCATTTCTATATCAAAATCAGTTGAATTTTTAATAATTGGATGTGACGAAAAGTTACTATTACAACTAGAAGTGTAAAAAAGGCGGTGAAAAATCCTGTTAAATAATACAGCAAAAATAGTTTCATGGTACCTGTAAGTCGGGTTATTGGTCAAAGGGAGGTAATTCTTGGTGTATTCACTCGTTTATATAGCTTCTTCTTTTTTCCTATTTTTTGCTGATTGAAGAAACAAAGTAACAATATCAGTAAATGTAACGTCCATGTGTCCCAGTGACCACGTGCATACCGTGCAAAATTGAATGGGCAATGAGATGAATGTTGACTTTGCTGGTAAATGTTGACACTTTACGTAATATACAAATGTCTAATGTTTGTTTTTATTTCATTCTTTACCACTGTGAGAAATAATCGAACAGATCGTCTGACAGACTTGGGACAAAATTACGAATTTTCTTTGTGCAGATTGTTCCACCGACTCTATACGCTCAATATATTTCATTATTAAAATTTTTGAGATAAATTGTTAACCCCTCTATACGGACAAAGAAACAACGCTTTAACAGCCAACTTAAACTAGTGTGTGTTTATTCTATATTCTACGTCTCTCGAGCAAACAAATAAATTCACAGTTTCTTTATTCGATTGCTATTTAGTTTTTATAGCGGGACGTTATTTTATTTGTTTACTTTTTTGTGTACCTGTTTTTTTTTACATTGAATCATTTTTGAAAAAAAAAAAAAAAAGTTCGCATTGAATTACGACATGCAATTGTGGTATTGATAGAGCCAAAAAAATTGTTCGTTCAATATGAATTGTTCATACATTACGTTATTAAA